ATGGTTTAGGAAAATATTTAGAAAACAAATAATGATTTAAGGAAAATTGTCTCCCTTGGCTCAGTGATTATTGATCATTGCCTATTGTGAGGGAATCATTTAAATATAATAGATTGTACATAGCTGAATTCATTCACAATGGATAATTGTTTTACAATGAACCAGAATGGATTTAGAATTGGAGATGAGCCTTACACGATGTTACTAGCTAACCCTTCCTATTTATCTAAACTCCTGAACAATTACACCAAAAACTCGAATTTTTGTTGAATATATTTTCTGATAGTATCATGATGGTATCTCGACTTTTAAACATCTTGAATATAACTTGAAAACACAAGTATCTGCACATGGCTAACTGAAGTATTTCAGTAAGATGATCGAGTGTAAAATACTAGCTAAGCCTAATTAAGCCCACAGGTGATGTCAACCTGCATATGTCTTAGCTTGAGTTCTTGGCTATCCTTTTTATTTCATCATTTTCAAAATACATACATAATTAAATATTATATACATACACTCTATATGTGTGTATGTGAGAGAGAGAGAGATCCTATATGTCTAAACAACAGCGTGACTGAACATGGCCTGAGTATTCCTCTGGAGCCTCTAATCTGGCTCACCTCTGATTATTTAAATCCATTACATAAGCCCTGTGGGGCTCACCAAATTTTGGAGAACCAATCACTAATAATCTATCTTGTCATCTTGTCAAATAAGTTGCATCGATCACTTCAATTGGTAGTCCAATTATGACTTGTCAAGTGGCATTCTCTAGTACAACCACGTTACCTTCCCGACATACCGTCCACGCAAGTCCGATAAGTTGCAATTCCCAAGAAGTTCTCCTCCACATCTCTCCATTGCCACGTGGCAATATCAAAAGCCTCAACACTTCTCTCAAAACGACCTTGTCCCTCTGTGTTATAGCCACCAATGACGTGGAATTTTTCATTGTGAAACACACCTTTGCACTCATTCCTCTCTCTTGACATGTCGGGTAGTGGAGTCTGTGCATCTTTTACCACGTCATACATTATTACCGACCTCAATGCATTCTTATTGTTGTCATGTTCACCAGCAATAAACACCATCAGATCAGAATTGGACGCACATGCAAAGAAAGATCTTGGTCCACCTGGCACATCAACCCCTTGCCGCCACTTGGCTGATATGAAATTGTATATAAAAACCAACTTAGAAACCTCCCAAGTCACTGGGTCATACCCACCAATAATAACCAAATCCAATCCGACCCCAACAAGTTGGCAAAACAAGGGGAGCCCATTGGGAAACCGGGGCAAAGGTGGTAGTTTATACCAATTACCACTTTCTGCCTCATAAACAAGAAGTTGGTATGCCGGCATGAACATGAACTTCATGGCATGGCTCTCCTTTGCTTGAGCCATCACAATGATAGGTCGGGTTAAGCCGGTGATTTTCTGACGATGGCGAAATTCCGATAGCTCAATCTTAGCCTTCCAAGTTGTAGATACCGATGCAGCAGTCGATAAATCGACAGAAACACGAATCAGACACTCGTAGGCAACGTCGTCCGGGAGACCCGGGATGAGCCCCATTTACGAGACTTTATGTATCGCTTTGTAATAAGCAAAAAGGATAGCTTGTGTGTGTTTTTCTGGATACACAAAGAACATGAAGAAAAGAACAGCAAAGAAGAAAGAAATGAAAGTTTGATGGTGATATAGATTTGGTGTTTGCCTTGTATA